ATGCAATTCATGTTGGTGTCCCTTTGTCATTTCTCTGTTTCTAGACCATATGGTTGAGTGATTTACAATAACTTACTGGCTTAACCCTTTAGGCTCCTAGTGGAGCAAAAGGCATCACAATCTTTAGGTATAATAACTATACCTAAACGTTGTATCTTTCTAAATATGAAGTTCCTTATGCACCTACTGGCGCAGAAAGCAGTGATATGAAGTTAGGAATTTACATGTAAACCATGCTGGTAAAATTAATGATAAATAAGTAAAATTAATGATTGATATAATGCATGGTAGAACTTGACCTGTAATGCTAGCAGAGTCGCCTGTGCAAGTGTATTTAATGCTACTTTTATACTGAAACTTGCAGGCCATTCTCAATTGCTCAAACTGTTTGATGGAAAAAGTGCAAGGGTTGCAGACAAAACCAGTGGAAGCATGAGAAGACAGTTGAGAAGAAAGTTGCAATCTACATCAAACAGCGATGTCGATGAAGAAATCACTGGATCACCATCTCAACCTGAAGGTAAAAGCGGTGGAAAAACTGATGGATCACCATCTCAACCTAAAGGTGGAAGCAGTGAAAAAACTGATGGATCACCATCTCAAGCTGAAGGTAGAAGCAGTGGAAAATTTGATGGATCACCATCTCAACCTGAAGGAGAAAGCAGTGAAAAAACGGATGAATCACCATCTCAACCTACAGGTGGAAGCAGTGGAAAAACGGATGGATCACCATCTCAACCTAAAGGTGGAAGCAGTGGAAAAACCAAAGGATTACCATCTCACCCTGAAGGTGGACGCGGTGGAAAAACTGATGGATCACCATCTGAACCTAAAGGTGGAAGCAGTGAAAAAACAAATGCATCACAATCTCAACCTGAAGGTGGAAGCAGTGGAAAAACCGAAGGATTACCATCTCACCCTGAAGGTGAAAGCAGTGGAAAAACTGATGGATCACAATCTGAACCTAAAGGTGGAAGCAGTGAAAAAACAAATGCATCACAATCTCAACCTAAAGGTGGAAGCAGTGGAAAAACCGAAGGATTACCATCTCACCCTGAAGGTGAAAGCAGTGGAAAAACGGATGGATCACCATCTGAACCTAAAGGTGGAAGCAGTGAAAAAACAAATGTATCACAATCTCAACCTGAAGGTGGAAGCAGTGGAAAAACGGATGGATCACCATCTCCACCTGAAGGTGGAAGTAGTAAAAAAACGGATGAATCACCATCTCAACCTGAAGCTGGAAGGAGTGAAAAAACTGATTTATTATCATCTCAACCTGAAGGTGGAAAACGTACAAAAACTGATGGATCACCATCTCAAGCTGAAGGTGGAAGTAGTGAAAAAACGGATGGATCACCATCTCAACCTAAAGGTGGAAGTAGTGAAAAAACGCATGAATCACCATCTCAAGCTGAAGGTGGAAGCAGTGGAAAAACTGATGTAGCACCATCTCAACCTACAGGTGGAAGTAGTGGAAAAACGGATGGATCACCATCTCAACCTAAAAGTGAAAGCAGTGGAAAAACCGAAGGATTACCATCTCACCCTGAAGGTGGAAGCGGTGGAAAAACTGATGGATCACCATCTGAACCTAAAGGTGGAAGCAGTGAAAAAACAAATGCATCACAATCTCAACCTGAAGGTGGAAGCAGTGGAAAAACGGATGGATCACCATCTCCACCTGAAGGTGGAAGTAGTAAAAAAACGGATGAATCACCATCTCAACCTGAAGCTGGAAGGAGTGAAAAAACTGATTTATTATCATCTCAACCTGAAGGTGGAAAACGTACAAAAACTGATGGATCACCATCTCAAGCTGAAGGTGGAAGTAGTGAAAAAACGGATGGATCACCATCTCAACCTAAAGGTGGAAGTAGTGAAAAAACGCATGAATCACCATCTCAAGCTGAAGGTGGAAGCAGTGGAAAAACTGATGTAGCACCATCTCAACCTACAGGTGGAAGTAGTGGAAAAACGGATGGATCACCATCTCAACCTAAAAGTGAAAGCAGTGGAAAAACCGAAGGATTACCATCTCACCCTGAAGGTGGAAGCGGTGGAAAAACTGATGGATCACCATCTGAACCTAATGGTGGAAGCAGTGAAAAAACGAATGCATCACCATCTCAACCTGAAGGTGGAAGCAGCGGAAAAACGAATGGATCACCATCGCAACCTGAAGGTGGAAGCAGTGGAAGAACGGATGGATTACCATCTCACCCTGAAGGTGGAAGCAGCGGAAAAACGAATGGATCACCATCGCAACCTGAAGGTGGAAGCAGTGGAAAAACGGATGGATCACCATCTCAACCTGAAGGTGGAAGCAATGAAATAACGGGTGGATTGCTATCTCAACCTGAAGATGGAACCAATGTAAGGGAGCTAATATAAATATGTGCTTGTTTT